TGGCAATTGCATATAACTAGCTCTATCACAGTTTTTGTACAGGTTGGTTATTATTATATTAATATGTATGCTAAAAAGCTAAAATAATGGAAAATGGCAGCCATTTTAAATTGTAATAGCTCAAAAATATGTACAATATTTAGTTAACTGTTTCTGTCATGTTATCAGTGGATTTCCAATTGAATACTGCATTTTAATGACATAAATTTACAATATTAGTGACAATTTTAGGAAAAAATGGCGGCCATTTTGAAACGGCTGGCAACCCCCCTTACGTATGAAAAAAAAAATGTTGCACATACTTTTTTGATTTATCTATGTCTACTCTACATCATATCCAATTTTTAAAAAATATAGCAAAAAAAAAATGCAACCAACCAAAGTTTGCTGGACTACTAGGCCTAAATCGATATTTCAATCACGACAATCTCGCTCGCGATACGTTGCTATGTTATGATTGTAAGAGCTATCGACGCATGCGCGTTTGCCGATTTCAGCTTATCTGGTTGTCAAGTACGTTACGTAACGGTGAGATAATTACGATCGCGGCGAGGAGGTCTGTACCTTTGATCTTCGCTCGATGTTACTCCTTCTGTTCTATTTTCTCTATACTCAGTACTTATCCTTGATAATATGTTAATCCAATTAATATAGTGAGATAACGTAACGTTAGTTTATCGAGGGCGGGTCGAGCTAATGAACTGTTGTTCGTATACGTTTTGGGAGAAACTGTTAAAAAATGCATGTAAATGGCACCAAATTCTCACGTTTTCTAGAAAATTCGATCACAAACAAACTGAATAATCTTACCTTCGAATCTCAGTAATTTTTTAACAAAAAGTCGTAGGCCTATCTAAAGTCGGTTTCATTTGGTACTTGTAGCTATAAAAAAAAAAAATCTTCGATCCTCTGCACACAAAAAGCTAACACTGAAGGTCATCGAATATGTCAAATTCATTCTCAATGAACCCAAACTAATGACGTCACTCGTTCAATATTTACCGATACAAGAGCGATAAAGGGCCGAACATGGACGACTTGTTCAATATTCACCGATACAGGAGAGATAGAGGGCCAAACGTTGATGACAATGCCTAACATACTTAGGAATGTTGCAGAGAGCCACTGGTATTGCAGCTCTTGAGCTCACTAAGCTCTGCAAGAATAGAGAGGAAGACATGATTGCCGCCAACGTCAGGATCTAATATGGCACCTAGATAGATAGATAGATGTATACATGATGTATTTACTGACATTGTAAAAAAATATAGCAACCGACTGAACACTTACATCAATTGAAGTTGTTAAATTAGGGAAAACATATCAATAATAGGTAAGATAGTGTATGTATCAAAATAATAACTTTTTCTTGAAATTACATGTGTTGATGTACTTCATTGTACTTTATTTTTTTGTTTTACCTTTTAAGTAAATTTATAACATAAAATCTACTGTATACTTATGTACTAACGTGTATTATTTGTAATGATGTGTGTAAAATAGGGGGGATATTATGTCTCCACCTAATGTGCTGTTATAGTGGTTCGGATAACGGTAGAATGACAGACTGTACACAACTGTTCCAGGTTGACGCAATGATAGTTTATTATTGCAGATGAGATCAACACTTTATCATGTGAGCGTATTTGCTCAAGCCAGTATATCAATTCAGTAGATGAGTGATATTGAAATGAGTTCACGTAGGATAGTAGCGTACTGTACTGCGTAATGCGGTGCGTGGCGTCGGTTACACTATACTGTAGTAGCTAAGTGGTGGTAGTGTATGGTAATGTGTGTGTGTGTTCATTTATCACTGTAATAAACCAGAAACAATAAAATAGTAATAAACAATATAACATAGTAATAAAGGCATAATAAATAGGCCTAGCATATGAATCTTTAACTTAATAGCATATGAAATAGTAACAGTATGTACTCTACTGAGCAATAGTCGTCTCAGGTAGGCCTAATAAACAAGTACCGTATGAGTCACGTGACCTAAACTTGTCAAACGAGGGAACCCCTCGCTGTACGAATCAGCGTGAACGGGTAATTAAGGTTTTATATAGAAGTTGGAACGCTGGATTGCCTCATTTTACAGACAAGTTGCGAACAAGTTCGCTAACGCGCGTGCGCTGCCCGTTGCAGCGCAACGAACGATGAGGGCTCAGTCACTAAATAGATACTTTGCAACAATGTGGTAGCTGAGCAGTTATTACATCGTGTCAGAAGTGAGGTATTTTGAAACTAACTAAGGCTCAAGAAGTCGAAAATTTATGAGGGAAGTAATTAAATAATCATCGAGATACACCACCACAACCGTTTAATAAGAATCATGAGACGGATTCAGAAACGTGGACGAATTTGAAACAGAGGTCCACAATAAACCTAATGGCCAAGTGGTTAGACGAAGCATCAGAATCAAGGAAGGTAAATCCCCTATTACATTTGCTAGGAGAAGACGGTATAAAGCTGTTTAATGCCGTAATTTTGGTTTAAGATCAGCAGATGGGGATGAAAACCCTGCTGAAGATAAAGATGATTTGGAAACAGTGTTGAGAAAATTTGATAGCCATTATGCACAAGATAGAAAATACTGTGCCATAAAACGTGAAGCATTTTTAGACAGAGTGCAAATGGAGGATGAGCAAGTAATGGACTTTGTAGCTGACATAAAATTCAAAAATAAGCAATGCGAGTATGGACCTGCAGAGGAAAGTGTAGTAGTGGACAAAATAATACATGGAATGAAAGATCGGTTCATGAAAATAAGACTGTTAGAGTTAGAGGATCAAGAGTTAACGTTGGACAATGCTATTAGAATTTGTCGAATAAGAGTGTTTACGCAGCAACATATGTACAGTATTCAATGGACAATACAGCGTGGACGCGGCCGAGCAAGCGAGCGATCCTACGATTGTGGACGCGATTGTGATATGTGTGAAAAACGTCATGCATACGGTGATTGCCCAGCAAGAGACAGATTTTGTGGATTATGTGGACAGCAAGGACATTTCCAAAGGTTAAGACTGTGTCAAAGCAAATTGTTTCAAGAGGTTGCAGAGGTAGGGGTAGAGCTAAGGCCTACTCAGAAAGACAGTTTTATGCTAACTCTTGTGAAACTGATTATTATACACATGAAGATGATAATGTGAAAAATATGTCCGAAATATTTTATGTTAAGTGCTCCGTAAATGATGTATATTAAGTAATTCACAACAATATATATGTAAATTATACTAATACCAGTACTGGTAACGATGAAGAATGGAGTGTAAATATGAATGCAGAGAAGAGAAAACACTTCAGCTAGAAATATATACAGGAGCACGGTGTAATATAATATCAATAAAAACATTACAAAAGATTGGAGAAAGATATAAGATCAAACCCAGTATCAATGTTTATATCAGAGGGATACAGGGTTTAATTACAGAGGCATGTGGGGTTGTGAATCTGCCTTGTGAGTAATGGGGACATAAGAGAGCCGTTGCAAATACATACAATTCCTAAAAGGCCATGGCCAAAGGTTTAAAATAACCTGTTTCATATAAGTAAGCAAGAGCACTATTATAATAGGAATGCAAAAGCCTTACCAAAAAATTGAAAGGGAGATCCCATAAGGCTACAGACAAAGCAAGGCTGGAAACCAGCCGAATATATAAGAGATGAAGGTTAACGATCACATTTTGTTAGGGCAAGAGAGACCAAACTCATGTTAACCAAAAAAAAAAGTCCCATACCATCACACCTCAAGTCAGGCATCAGCCACCAACGACAACACCCCACCAAATAGGCCTAACAACAGGCAAACACACAAATGAGTGAAATACATAGGTTTGAACAAGAAACGATTCTCCGGAGCAACAGACCCCATCCATGCGCACATTGAAGGTAAGAAGAGAAATCAAACGGCCAAAGTGGCTATAAGGTTTTAAAATTTAAAACAAAAGTTTCAACATTAGTAATATTGTTGTTGTGACAATGGTTTGTGTTACGTGTTAGTTTTAAACTTTAAAAAATTTAAAAATTAAAAAAAAAATAAAAGAAAAATTTGTACATGCCAAGTACGGTGTGTAAAAATAATCAATATGTCCAGTAAGGACAATCACTATATGAATCATTATTATTAAATGATCTGGGATAGATAAGATGGTAAAAATTGAATCGTTCAATAATTAATCAAGAAAGATAAGATGTAATGATGTGGTCACTGGTATGTATGCTGCCCTCTGGCATGATGGACGACTCTGCTGAGTAGTTATTACATTATTTATGTTTTTTTTTTGCTTTGTTGAGCATTATTGAATAAATGTACTTTTGAACCTTGAACCTTCGAAACACAGGTAACGGTAAACTTCTTTAAGCCGGGCACTCACTGGGCCCGACGGTCCTTGGCGACACGATTCTATGTAGAACGCAACGACATGACATGCGCGCGACAAATCGTATCCAATGACCATCCGTTCAGACTGTCACCGACAATCAGCAGACGGCGTTGCGACGTCTAGCGCTCACAGATAGCGGAGTTAGGGGTCGTCGTACGTCGGTGTACAACGCAGTGTGTGCTTGGCTTTACAACGTCATAACGTTGCCTACAGTACACTAACAGTAGAGAAATATTAAACACATTTAATATTCTACTACGCGACTGCCCCCGACGCACACCATCGCGTCTGCGTTCAACTCACACAGACCCGACGCGACAACAAATCGCGTCGGGCTGCGTCGGCCGACGCTGTCTGAGTTGGCCTTTAAACGCAGACGCGATGTTTGCGTCGGGGGCAGTCGCGTCGTACAATATTGAACATTTTAAAAATTTCTCACGACGCCTTAAGACTTTCTCCGACGATAAGTCGAGTCGGGCTGCGTCGGCCGACGCTGTCTGAGTTGGCCTTTACACGCACGCAGTATTAAAAATGTTTTCTTACGTGGTCAAAACAGCAAAAAAATTATACGAGTGAGATCAAAAATTATCTCTGATTTAACATAAACGCAACCTCAATTGCTTAGGCCTACTTTTGCTGTTAGATTTCAATTGAAAAATTTAATGAAATAAATCTCGCCCATTAAGAAACGCATATAGTAAACCGTTTCCAAATTATTATAGACCTTTTAATTATTAAGTTAAAAAAAATGTGTAAATCTGTGAGAATTGTTCTGTTTTCGGTAAAGTTGATAACCTATTACCTTCGCCCCACGAGTTGGCGTGAGGGTATGACAATGAGCTCCGTCTGTCTGTCTGTTAGTGCGTGTGGGTGTGTCTGTCTGTGACGTGACTTCAAGCTATCCCACATTGACAATATTACATAAATCTTGGTCTTCCTCGATTTTGGTACTCATCAGAAGTAGGATGTAGATTTTAGAACGTTATTTATTTATATAGTTTTGTCGCAACTGACTGAGCCAACTCGAGCGGATCATCCGACTGTGTCATTGGCTAGGCCAGGCTGACTCGAGAGGATTGAAAGCGAACCGACTCGAGCGTACCGACCAGATGAAAATTCTGGCCAGCGGACTGGAAGCAGCCCGGAAGGCGTGTAAGCCCGACTGATGGGCTTGCTACTTAAGGCCCGCCTCGTCTGGCGGATGGATTGGAGAAGTAAGATGCAGATTTTATAATGTTTTTTAACTGCTGTCCCAATTTTGTTTTTATGTTATAAATAATGAAATATAAAAAAGGTATTCTATAAGATGCACAAATAATAAAAATAACAAAATAATTTTTAAAAAAACATGAGTGAGAGTTGAACCCCATTCGTTCGATTATTTTTACACATAAAACGTATATCTTTACCCCTCTGCTACATTTCACTTGATATCTGCAGCTAGAGCAGTGGCGGACCGTCAAGATAAGCAAGGTATGCATGGGCCTACCCTGGCTAAAACAAATTTGTTAAAAATATAGTAGTACAGTTTCTGCATTTGACTTAACATTTCTTAGCCACAATCTTCTATATAAGCCTTAATTTTTCAAGTGGATTGCTGCAGTTTATTGGAATAGCAAAGTTTTTCAATGTTTGGCCTAATTTGGTATCTAGGATAAGTCAACATTTGGGCCTACCGCATCGTACTCTTAGCTGCTTAGAATTTCTGCATGGCTGGTGTTCAATATCTACCAATCACATATTCATGTAAGTCAATGGAGCATACCCTACAACGCTTAAATTTGCTATTGTGACAACCGTATGGTGGCGTCAGAATAGCCAATTTAATACTGGAACAGTGCTTCCAAGATTATGTGCGCATGCTATTCTAATCACAAATCGGACCTCCACTGCCGATCGGGTATCCTATCTATCAGTGGTGGACCATAGGGTAAATTGCAGGGTATGCTAGGTGTTGGCATATCTAGGATGTGCGAGGGTCGTGCACGCCTTTCCCCTCTTGATAAAAAATACTCGCCCATCCCCCGCCCACAAATCATGCTCAAGTAGTTAAAAATCACCTCAAATCACATTATTTTGCGAGTTAGCTCCTTAATCACCGATCCCCACTTTACATTCTCACCCCCATCAGCTCCCTTCCATTTCAAGACCCCTGCGCCAATGGTGCAATGGCCTGCTAGTAGTAAAAGTTTGTAAGCCTACTACTATAAAATGTATGTTATTTTTAATACTGGCATGGTTGTAGTATCTTCTTTTCAAAAGAATTCCTATTCCTGTATTTTAACAAATTTCAGTTCAAATAATAATAATTCAAAGTTTCTTCTATACCGGTTATATGCATGCAAACTTATTTAATCTTTAATAATTGAGATTAGGCATAAAGATAGAATACCCGAACGGTAGTGGAGGTCCCGATTTGTGATTAGAAGAGCATGCGCACATACTGTTTGAAGCACTGTTTCCATTCTGACGCCACCACACGGTTGTCCCAATAGCAAATTTAAGCGTTGTAGGGTATGCTCTGACTTCCATTGACTCACATGATTATGTGATTGGTTGATATTGAACACCAGCCATGCGGAAATTCTAAGCAGCTGAGAGTACGATGCGATAGGCCCGAATGTGACTTATCCTAGATACCAAATTAGGCCAAACATTGAAAAACTTTGCTATTCCAATAAACTGCAGCAATCCACTTAAAAAATTAAGGTTTATATAGACGATTGTGGCTAAGAAATACTAAATCGATGCAGAAACTGTACTACTATATTTTTTAAAAATTTGTTTTAGCCAGGGTATGCACTGCATATTTTGCTTACCTTGACGGTCCGCCACTGCTATCTATATGCTTAATCTCAATGATTAAAGTTTAAATAAGTTTGAATGCATATAACCGGTAAAATAGAAACTTTAAATTATTACTATTTGAACTGAAATTTGTTAAAATACAGGAATAGGAATTCTTTTTAAAAGAAGATACTGCAACCATGCCGGTATTAAAAATAACATACATTTGTATTTTGACTATAGAACGCAATCTGATGCTGTATAGTAGTAGGCTTACAAACTTTTCCTACTAGCTAGGCCCCTAGCATCAGTGGAGTAGGGGTCTTGAAATGGAAGGGAACTGATGGGGGTGTGAATGTAAAGTAGGGATGGTGATTAGGTGAGGGGGTAACTCGCAAACTAATGTGATTTGAGGTGAATTTTAACTACTTGAGTATGATTTGTGGGCGGGGATGGGCGAGTATTTTTTTCAGGGGGCTCGGGCGTGCATGACCCTCGCACATCCTAGATATGCCAACACCTAGCATACCCTGCAATTTACACTACGGTCCGCCACTGGTAGCTAGTAATATTATAACTGTATAATAACAACCACCATAGGATCGAGCACCAGTGGTGGCGCCAGGGCCTGCCCGACGGAGGGGCTAAAGTCCCCGACGGGGGGCTAGTGGAGCGAATCGAGTCTCACTTGGCTGGGGGCCGCTTAGGGCCCCGGTGGGTCCTGGGGTCCCTGGAAGCTTCGGGTATTTGATGAATTATGGCGATTTTTTTATTTCTTATTTGATAGGCATCGAGTTACTATAATATGACTTCATGTAGGCTATGCTTTCTAATGTTGAAATCAGCTTCCAAAACCAAAACATTTTCAATAAGCAAGAAACAAAGAGTATGCAATGTAACCATCTAATTTATTTTCAAATCCTCATTCTTGAAAGTGAAATTCTATATTTTGGAAGTTTTGCATTAAATCTGTCAACCAC